GTTTTCCTAGTGTTTTACGTATTTCAAACGTATTTTGTGAATTTTAATAGTAGGTACCTTAGTGTCTAAGAGGATAGCGTTTAGAAATACCTGAATTTTTTTTTGATTTTTGAAATATTTGAATTTACCAACTATTTTTTCCTGGTGTTAGTATTTGATCTAGAGAAAAACCATGACACTTCTCCGCAGCAACTTTTAATGATCTTTAAAGTGAAGTTGTTAATTTTTTGTTTCGACGTGCCGTCTTTGCGAAGCCGTAATTAACCTAATTTTGTTTACCGCCCTGATATTCCCATAAGTGCTTATAGCCCTTTTTATTCTAAATTCAATGATGTAAGAATATTCTTATATTACACAAGCGTTTCAGTTGGATGAAATGAAACACCCTACTATGTGAAGATTTCTTCATTAGAAAATATAATTAATAGATAAAATAATTATTAATCATTATACAGGGTCGCTGATAAGCCTGGAAACGGGCGATTATCGGGGAAAATATACACGATATCGAAATATATTCTTAACAAAAGTTTTGGGCGTAGGTACATTATGCTTCTTACAAATTATGCTCAAAATTGAGAGAAGAATTGAAATATCAAATAATATACAGGGTGTTCCATTTAAAAAATGCAATATTGGCGTGCCAGGCCTTTATGACCAACCCTGGATAATTAAAATTGCTACTGCCTAGTAGACATTAAAGAACCTCAAATCTTTTGTATAAAGCTTTTTTTGATGCCTTGTATATTTTCGACCGTCTCCAGACTTATCAGCGACACAGAAGTAGAACGCCCCAAATCACCAAGAAAAAAGTATGCTTTGGAAAACAAATGAATGTGCTAATGATGTATTTAAACCACTGATAGTAGCGTTGGTTTTTTCACATATTAGTTCCACAGAGAATACTTAACGAAAGGGGCAACCAGGCAAACTAAGAGTTCCTTGTTCTGGCCTGGATAAGCTAAAGAAACAAACTAATTGGCAAGGTAGAACACAATAATTGTTGTCATAATCGAGGGTAATTTAATAAATGATCACAAAATATGGACACTGTAATCTGAAATGCAAATGTTTAAATTTATATCAATTTTTAACAAAAATAGATCAACTGGTAATCTGTAATCAAACATCATATCAAGGAGTCGTCGAAAATAAAAGTTACCTTTGAAACTCTGGTCTTAACGCTCTTTTGGGTTTAGAAGGGCGCTTTTCTACCTTATCTGTAACAAACACAACAACACTAATAAACAAGTCACGGGTCACTCTGTAATTGGGCGAATGCCTGTTGAAGGCCCAGAACAAGATAAATAAATAAACACATCAGAAATGAAGAGAAAGGTCAATAAAACCTATAACACTCGGATAGCCTCTAGCGGCGAAACTAACGAACTATTGTAAATGAAACCTGTAATACTCAACTATACTTAAATTACAGTATGGAGACAGTGTCGACAATAGAGTGTCTAATTTTTGATTGGTTGTTGAGATCGGCGACCATGCTGCATCAAGTATATAGTGATATTTTTAAGAAGTACCTAGACATAGAGATGTGCACGAATTGTTTTTCCCTATGTCTACTTTTAAAAGACAAAATCTTAATTTTATGCAGTCAAAATAACTTCTTAAACAAATAAAGAGCTGGCCGTCATATTAATTAATTTGAATATTGTTGCTTTGGTTTCCGCATTTTTATTTTCATTCGTGTGCCATGTATGTAACTGAAGAAAAAGTTGAAATTGTCAATTGGTATAGTGTTGGTAACGGTTTAAGGGGCGTAAGGGATTTACATGACGGTCAGATCTTTATTTGTTTTAAGAAGTTATTTTGGTGGCTTAAAATTAGGCGCCCTTCAGAGGAGATTTTGTCATTTAAAGGTAGACATAGGGAAAAATAATACACGTGGGTTCGGAAGAGAACGTTTTTCTACAAACTGGTATTTCGATTGGTTTTTTTCTCTGGAATGCGTGGACAGCATCAGTCTCTCCACGCGTTTCAAGAATGTTATTTAGTCCCATACTATGTTTCCAGACTAGCCATATAAGACACCAATTCTGTTAATCAAATCTGTAGGTATGTAAGATTTTGGTATATAAGTTTGATCAGATGATATTGATGTTGAGCCTACAGTATTGTCAGAGTTAGAATATATATTTTCTCACATCCGTCCCAACTCAAATTGGTGGGAATTGTTCTGGTATCGGTAACGGCCATTGAACTGAAAAAAGGAAAAATAAAACGAATTATCCGAACCAAACAATTTTAGTGATGTTGGTTAGAATATACTTTTCTGAAGTAATCACTAAAAATGAATTTCATTTACTCAAAATGTACTCCATTCTAAAACGTGAGTCATTTGATTAGACGAGGAAACGCATGTCATTGAAACGTAGATTTTTGCGAGGCCACTAAACGAAACCTGTTAATTTAAACTGATAAAGGGTAACTTATTTTCGAATGCAGTTGCTTCGTGATTGTGGTTACTTGTGTGTGATTATGTGAACTCCCCTAAAATATAATTTTTTGATGGTGTGATGCCGATATTTTGGACAATCAAGACAAGGGAAAAGCACGATACCGGAACAGAAAGGTATGGAAACTTTTGTTTTCGAATAATTGCATTTTGATTTTTGCACTTTGGAAATGCAAGATGTAATTGATTTAAATGCGGCTTCACGCCACTGGCACAGCCAATATTTGCTAAATAAATTATATGACCTAGCTCAGCAAAAAAAGCTCTCGCAGCGCTCCCATGCACAGCTTCCAAAATTCCGTTGCGGTAATTTATTATACTTTTTCACAAAGTAATAGCAACATTGACAAATAAAAGAACAACGGAACTTTAAATTTACCTCAGAGTGAACATAATTCATTTAATTCGTCAAAATATTTCATAAAACGTGAACATTCTTCGTATGTGATTTAATAGCAGCTAAACGATGTGAAAAAAATACCATTTGTAAATCATTCCTTACAATTTTACTTTTGGGGCGATGTAAAGTAAAAATTACAAAAAATTATTTAATTCTGATTCATGGGCCAAGAACGATCAAAAGGAATTCCCCGTTCTGCCGTACTGAAAATGTTCAAGATAAAAATTTTTTATACCACGAACCTGATCGATTTGTTGGTGGGTGAAAAAATTTGATATCTTGTAGAATTTTCCCCTAGATCAGCGAATGTCTTGCAACGTGTCCTCCTGGAGGGAGTCGAATATCTTGAATTCCAGGCAATTCTGGTGACAACAGGTAGTTTTTTTGCGGATGAAGGCGATCATGCCATTTTTTCCGTGACCATGAGCATAGTGGGTGCACTGTTGCCATTTGTTATGTATCTATTTGAAATGGACATATGTCACACTCTACCATCTGTCCATTTATTTCATGCCCGCCTGTGTTTTAAATTTCCGGATACATATTCGTAAATAGCAAACTTACGGAAAACTCCGCAGCATTTTTGTACAACTTTACTTTCTATAAGTGAAATAAAGGCATTAGGTGACAGCGACTATAGTTTCGACCCGAAGGTCATTATCAAGCTTAAATTTAAGAGAACATGTAAAGGTGGTTGAAATGTTACAATTTAAAATGGCACATTTTGGTTATCAGTATGAGGAAAAATTACGAATTTATGACATGGGAAACAATAACAATATTAACAATTTAAAAACTTTTTGTCCTCACATATTATAAGTACAATTGATTAATATAAAATAAATAAGTTAATAAGCTTTCCACTAAGGCAAAGTATGCAGTTGTTCCTACTAGACTAGAGACATTATCAACAAGCCTCCGCAAGAGAAAAATGTTTTTGTCTATTTTCTTATTTAACAGTTCACAATGAATTGAAAAATTTAATCGACTATCTATTTCACAGCCCAAAAATTTTGCACAGGGAATTTTTCACCACACGTATTTTTAAGAGAGAAATGCATGAGTGCTGTTTTAGCGCAATTAACTTTTAATTTGTTACATTGGCACCAAATGTTAATTAAGTTTAAGCTTTGGTTGGCAATGTTGAACGCTGTCTTGACATTTCTATCTGTAGTAAGGAGTGTTGCATCATCTGCATACAGGATACATGTAACGTTATTGGTCAGGTACAGCGGTAGATCGTTGATATAAACCAAGAAGAGTAGTGGACCTAGAGTTGATCCCTGCGGTACTCCACTTGTTATTGAGGCTTGCTTAGAAAGTTGATCGTTAAACAGCACACATTGTGACCTGGATTGTAAATAGGAGGAGATCAGAGAGCAGCTAGATGGCGAAAAGTTGTACAAGTGACGAAGTTTGCGTATTAGTAAATAGTGTTCCACGCAATCAAATGCCTTCGATAGGTCGATAAAAGTGGCTACAGAATGCAAGCCATTTTCGAATCCTTCAAGGGTTCTCTTGGTATACGATCCATTGTAAAAAGAAATGACCTAGTGTCACAACGAGTAGAATTTTAAATGAGATATCGAGAACAATGTAAAACATTGCACTTTTAATTAATCTCCGGAATTTGTGGTCTATGCTAACAAAATTTTCTCTTGCGGAATCAAACAGATTTCTTAAATTTTCACTGTGAAGGAAACCAAGGTCAGGTGTGATTTGTAATTTAATTTATCAAAGAAAAAACTAAAACCCCAATTTGTAATAGGTAGAAGTTTAAGAAATAGAAAAGTTAATATAAAAAGCGGAGATGCACCCTTGATTTTTTTTCCGTTATCCAGTAATTTGTCACTTTGGTGTTATCATTTTGCGGGACAGTACAAAGTCAAAGAACCGATTTGTAGCCAATTTTCAGATAAAGAACAAGAGATCTCTTGTGTAAACCAGGGGAGTAAAGTAGGTAACATTTAATAGGAAACTGTAAGAGCTAGTCGGAGACATTTTTAACAATTTTTATGATACAGTTTTCTCGTTGCAATTTCCCGTTTAATAAAAAAACAAAAGAAATTGTCAACCACTTATTTGCAACCAAGCTTTCGGTGCACAAGGTCGTATGTTTGGTGGTCATCCATGGACCAATGTATCGAGAATGCCGTGCGCAATTACAAAGATTGCCAGCAACAACAGAAATTGGCAGCGAAGGGGCCAATACACTCGTGGAAGTGGAATGAGTCGCCTTGGGACAAGATCCACATCGACCACGCTGGACCATTCTGTGGTCAACAAAGTTTAATTATTGTTTACGAATTCAGTAAATGGTTGGAGGTGAAGAAGGTACCATAACAGCGCCGGAACACACCATTCGCTGTTTACGGGAAGTGTTGGCAATGCATAGGGTTCCGGAGGTCATCGTGAGCGAAAACGGGAAGTAGCGTCGGAAACAGTCCAACTATGGACGAAGAAGAACGGATATCTTTATAGGCGAGTAGCACCGTACCATCCATCGTCAAACGAACAGGCAGAAAGGATGGCCCAAGAAACGAAAACGAAGCTAGGTACCGGAAACTGGGAAGTGAAAATTGCAAAATTTTGGTTAACACAACACGTCACACCAACAGCAGCTACGCATACCTTACAATTAAGATTAACTTCATCGTTACAAGAAAACAGCTAACTACGAGATCCTCATTTCGAAGCATAAACAAACTCTCCGACGTAAAACGGTCTTGGTTGAAAATCAGAGACCCTTAAACATTTTGCTTATGAAAAGACCAATAAAAAGTGAAAAAACCAGCGTGTGAACGGTAGTTGTAATTTGACCACTAATCCATAAATCGGTTTACGTTCTCGAGAATTTGAACGCGGTTGAGATAAATACAAACTTCATTATCCTGAAAATTTACTACGAGAGGCAAATTTGTACGAGAGCAAGTCACAAAAAAGTGTTCAACTGTATCACCCCAGGAGCGAACCAGTTTTCAATTTTTCTTGGAGCGAGCATTTTTCAAGGAAAAAAAAAGAAAAACACCGATTCCAGCGATATCTTCCTTTGTTATATAAACCGTTGGTCTTATTGAGAATTTGCATTTAACGTAATTATAATATCATTAAATGAACCTATCTGTGGAAATGAATTTCATGAAACAGATTTGTATTGCATTTAATAATTATCATTGAATCCATAAAAAGGAATTTGCTTATTTATTCATTAGTTGGGAATTTATAACTGATGATATTCCTGATGAGATAGGGGTTGAATTTAGGGAAACAAATTAGTATTTTAAATCAGAAAAAAGGAGAATGGAATTGGATAGAATTTAGATTATTTATTTTGGAATTCGTATTTATTCGTCTGCAGTCAAAGTCAAACAAGAGCGTCAAGTTTTGATTTTCAGATTTGAAAAGGAGATAAAAGGTCAAACTTCCGCAAGGTAGGGGGTATTTAAATGCTGTTAAAGGGCTAACCGTGGGTAAAATTAATTGTGATCGACATTTTTTTACCAATGCCGTAAGGAACCAATTTCACTTAGCGCGAATGAGAGTCTTCAACCCTTTCAATTTTTATTGCAATCATCACACTTTATAGGAGCAGGACAATTGAACGTGTAGTTTATTGCGCTGCTTTGTGGCCGATTTTTTCAGTTTGTAATGAACGCATTGAAAACATGTTAGAAATTCGAATTGGAAGTGGAATTAGTACCTAAAGGCGCAACGTTTCTGAATATTAGATACAACAATAAGGAACATGATATTTTCGTTTCACTATGTTAGGGCATGCGAGGGGTTGAAATACACAAGTCGTAAGACTACCAATCTTCACTAATATGTAACCTTAGTTGTCTATTACAAGGAGTAATTTATCGCAATAATTTTCTATAGGTAGCATGTGTAATTGTTGTAATGTTTGAACGACTGTCATTGCTAATTTGTGCCTAAGTGGGAATAGTTAATGCAGGTACCTATGTAACTTAAAAGGTGCAACTTGGCAATTCCATTTGACGTTGTTGTATTACTGTCACCGAATGGTGAATATTAGATTGTTTATTAACATTTTTATAGGTAGGTTAGGTAGTAAATTTGCAATTAACATTTGCATAAAATGAGATAATAAAACTTCATTAAAGAATTTTTCAATTTATTTTCCAACACTTCTTATTCGATGTGCACGAAGCACGTGCAGATCGTATTCACATTCAACTGGCCTAAGTCCCTGATGGACGTTAAAAACATTTTTCCCTGTACATTCAAATACAATGACTGCAATTAACAAAAAAAAGAAAACAATAAAATATTTACAAATAATATAAAATGCCCTCGAATAATTTATATAACTACATACAATAATTAGGAGCCGCTGCATCGATTAAATGCGTCACAACTCATCAATGCAACACAGTGGAATTGTACTGACCTCGGTTTTTGATAACTGAGATGGCAATAATTAAAAAAAAATATTTAACATTGCACTACTTAAAATAATACAAAAGGTGGTTTGCCCGCACACTACTCCAAGTTATGGGGAGAATGTTTGAAATTTTTCGGTTAGACTAGAACTGCTCAAAATTAGATAATATTCAGTAGCGCCGTGGGCAATTGGAAAAGGAAGCACACTAGTTACAAGATACTGGCCTTTATAATTCACAATTAATAATAATGTTCACTAACACACTATAAATACGCACAATTTTCGTTGATACAACTTTAAGAGCACCCGTGGTGTTTTGGCCCTACATCATAAAAGTACATGGTAACTGGGAACATAGATGTAGGTCCCTATTGCTTTCTTTATAGCAACGTGTAAATAACGCCCCGAGCACGAGAGTTTAATTAATTTCTGCCCTTACTCTTCCGGCATATTAGCGCAAATTAATATCTGCTCGGTCATGAAATTCAATACTTTCAATGCATGTAGCGAAGTTTCCCACGATAAATCGATCTAGATGGGCGTAGAAACATATTATTGTCTACCGCTTCAATTTTCGAACAATGGGGAACAATTAACTTCGATCCTCGCATTATCTAAACCTTTAAGGAAGTATAATTGTGCTCGTCGTGCAAGATACTCTAATGGAACACATTGGCGAGATCATTAAGTTGACTAATACATCACACCTTAGTTGTTAGATCGAGAGGTGTCGGTCGCAGAATCTTTATCCGTCGCATTTCGGTTTCGGAATCGCAATCGCTCTCCTCGTCCGCCTCGCTTCCTGCGCCCCTCTCGGTCCTTTCGGAGCCGGACCTGTCGCTCGGGCTCGGCGACGAGCCCCTGTCGCTCGAAGGTTTCATACTTAAGTCTATGGGATCCTCTTGTATGGGAGACGCGGTCGGTCGGACAGGCTCGCGTTCTTCGGGCGTCGGTGACCTTTGCGATTGCAGGACGGCGTCGAGGAAGACCCTCTTGTTGAACGCCTCGACGCCGGGGTTGTGATTGCGCATCAGCCGGTTGTTGTTGTTGGCGGGTTGTAGGAGGCCCGCGTAGAACGGCGGGTAGCCCGGCGGGAATAGTAGGCCGGGCGGTGGTAGGAAGGTTGGAGGTAGTAATCCGGGGAATAGGGGTAAAGTCCGTCTAGCGTCACTTAATTCCACTGAGGAGTCCGAGTTGTGCGATTCGGGCGAACTCACCGACGGGGACGCGGCGTGCTTGTAATCGTCGAAGCCTAGGAGCATTAGTTCTTCTTTTGTGCGCGGTAGGTGTAAAAGCGGAGGTGGGAACGGTTGCGAGCCCAATATGCCCATGCTGATGTTTTGGTGACCGTGGGGAGACTTTATGGGTGGTTTCATTCCGGGTAGACCTCCGCTCGGTGACTGCTGGTGGTGATGGTGCTGCTGTTGTTGCTGTTGTTGCTGTTCCTGTAGTAAGCAGTGGATTTTGAACCAATTGGAGCGACGTCCATAACGCGAGCCGCTCTTCGACATTCCCACCAAGAGACACTTTCGCAGCCGACACGCTTTACACGCCGTCCTGTTTTTCTTGTTTATCACACATTCTCCGTTATTTTTACATTCGGAAATGGAGCTCAGGTTGTTGTAGGATCTTCCAAAGAACGACTGTAACAAAAAAGAATTATTAGCGTTTCGTTTACTTTAGGAAATTCGTGTACTATCAGCGGGGTTTTCATTCAAAAATGTGTAAGAAATTTTAAGTTGTAATATTAATATTCGATAAATTAATTTTACGGGTTTTTAAAATTCAATTTGGGCATCATAAATATATAAAATTAGTCTTGGAGGAAGTATACACTTTTAAAACAGATGTAAGGAATTTGTAGAAAAATTTCTACGGTAATCAATAGGTAACCACCTTTCCATTCTATACGTGATAAATGAACCATTCTTTTAAATAACGTTAGTTTTACGTGTAGGTTGGCGTATTAAATTTTTCCGATCTCTGTTTTTTAACAGCACGCGATGTGAAATACTGTAAAAATATTCAAAATTGTATTTCTCTCCCCTTTGAGAAGAATGTATTGGTGAGATTATTAAAATTTTATGGAAATGGACAGCATTTTGAAATCTTTAGCAGTAACTTAATAGATTTTTATACGTTCTGGGATGTTTCCGTTTAATTTATTTGATTTCGAATCAACAATTAACATTTAGAACAGGATTTTAGTGACTTTTCCAGCTATACTGGTGTAGGATTACTAATTATTCTTCCAATAAATTAAGCTCGGTCAGTTCGAGGGAAATGTCAGCGCGGTACCGCTGTTTCGATCGAGACAACATTAATTGTACTAAGTGGTATATTATGCAAATAAAGCGTTTAAAAAGAGATGTCACCGCGGCAAACGTAAATTAAATGTACACGTCCAAATGTGATTTAGTGAATTTGCTAAGGCCAAAGCGTGCAGCTAGACGCACATTTAGGAACCGCTTCTATAATTTATGAATCCCATAATACGACCAGAAGGGACGCGGCCGATTCGTTCAAATTGAATTCCTCAACTACAGAAGGATTCGAGTAATAAACTTTGTTTTAATTATGGTATAAACGTCAGTTTAAAGTAAATTTAAAATCCTGGGCACAAAGACAACTTACAACCAATATCAATTAGCTTATTTAAGCCCATAATTGTAAAGCGTATCGCTCAAGTTAACGTAATTAGAATAATCCATTATTACACACATTAAAAGTTTATTAAGGTGCTTTTACTGTGTCACCGCGTTGCATAAGTACAAACTACGCAATCCTCCATTGTATGTATGTTAACTAGCGACGAACACAGAGAGTATTTGGCGACAAAAATCAAAGACCGCGTAATCAGGTCGACTTTTCACGCAATGCTGAATCCGAAATCGAATGGGGAGTTACGTAAGAATGTCGGTAGGGCATAAACCAAGCATGAGATCTGAGAGTCGTGCTTGAGATGCTACAGTTATTAACTGGAGCATTACGCATAAATAAACTGTTATTTGCTTAATTGAAACAATTTAGAACGTTCGTTTTAAACGATGAAGGTTTTCGTTACTACATTTCATGAGGTATTACCGATTCAAGTGCAATTATTGCTCGATTACATAAATCAATGCGCGATTTGAGCATTCTTCCATTATGGTTCCGGCCTTCGATCCCAAGACCAACAACGTGCATTGGAATATCGAATCTTACTTAATTTAGTAAGAGATTTTCAATTTTATGTGGAAAAACTAAATGGCGGAGGGGTTGATGTTTCCATTAATTATGTTTTGGTAACTTTGCAGGATGTAATAAATATATGAAAAATAGGATTATAGAAGGGAACAAGAAAGACATTAATAAACCAAAACCGTCGAAGGTGTTTCGTTTAGAAGCTTTCGGGTAGGTGAAAGGTGAAAAAAAGGTATTTTTTGTAATCTCGGTTGTCATTGTAAAAAATAGTTGCAAGAACAGTGAACAACTAACCAGTTCTTTTCCAAAATTAAAAAAAAATTTAGCGCACCCCGGGACTCTTACAAAGTCATATTTTTGATTTTTCGTAGCAATAAACCGTTTCTAAAAAATAATTTATTTTTACCTTCTACAGTAGGGTGGAATTTGAACTTGACAGTGTACATAGCGTTAAATATAAAAATGTATCGTAATGGGTATTCTTCATAAGAGTGTAGAGGAAGAAGTTATTTTGATAATTAGATAAGCGTACAGAAGTGAACGCGCTGGGAATAGAAAAGCAGCATTCGCTATCTGACAGCGGACACGTAATGCAAGATTTATACGCCCCAATTAGCGCCTTAAATCGCTCACTTTAAAAGTATGTTGGTTCTATAGTTAAGGTCTAAGTGAATCATAAAAGTGAGTGAAAGAGACTCCAAAATTTTTCGCCGATTAATAGAAAAGCTATAATAAATAAAAAAAACTTCTCATTGGTACATGTACATGTAATTAATCGAGCGCTTTGTTTTGACCCGCCAGCAAATTATTGGCACTCGCTTGCTTTACGGGACAGCTTCAATTTGTCTTTTTGGAGAAATTTGACCAGGAAGATATCCACCAACATTGGGGAAACAGCATAGAAATCTCAGCTTCCAAAACCACCACGTAAAGTCAATACAGCATGTCAGTGGAAATTTGAACCGAGGCGACAACAGCTCTATCGGGCTAAGATTGACGACTGCTACGATTGCAGCATTGAAAAAAGTACATTGTTTCATTACTTACGTTTTATTGCGAAATAGAGTGAATTAAATAAACTTCATAAGTCCTATTTAGATGGAGCTCTTTCATTTGTAGATATTTTTTGAAATTTTAACCACATAAGCTTCTAGTAAAGACAAACATATCGTGTACAAATATCAAATTTGCAATGCCATCTTTCTTATTTATATTGTTTTAACCAAATATTCTTCTAGTAAAGGCAAACATATTGCATACTTTAAGCATCAGGTGTGCGCACGCGTAGACTGCGCAATGCTAAGATTCTTATTAATAAGAATATTTGTGCCTTAACTTATTTTCCTTTTTACACATAAATAGTCCGATAAGGTTGGTTTTCAGGTTCATGCACGTTTGTGCAAATTAACTTGTGCATGCTAATTTGCGCAAATAATAAAAAATAAATGAATTGTTTTATTCCGTTTCCACGGTCAGTCTAATTTGCCCAAAGTTCAGTTCAACGTACAGAGTATCCCGTTGTTGTGAATTTTGACATAGACACGTGCCTGTGTGGCGCAGCGACGTCAAAGCCCGACTGGTTCGAATTCGGGTTCGGGGATGGGGGTGAATGTGTAGTGGGTTGGGTTGGTAAAGCAGCACTGTTCACTTGAAAATATAGGCCAGAAATAAATAAATAGATAAATAAATAAGGAACATCTCCGGTTTTGTTAGCAACACTTTCAAGTTAGACATTTATAGTGATACACTTCAAATAAATAAAATATCCACAGATTCACTTTTACGGACAATCGGTTTTGATAGGGTGTAACGGGTGATTGTTCTAGAAATTAACAAAAATTATTTTTTTCGAATTTGTGTTTTGTTGAGAATAGGAAAATTTACACATGTACCGCTTCATAGCGAACGTGAACATAGTGAACGGAGTTAACAAGTGATAATAAGAAATGTACTGTGGAAAGCGAGCGCGGCTGCCACGATCTCGTGGAACCTAAATGTATCCTTCCGTTTTATTTAGAGTCGACCATTCGTTCCGTTTTATTTAAATTCCGACCACGTGACAAAAATTCAGGTTTATTATTCATTTAAAAGGGTAAGCTAATCGAGACCGTTTCGGTATTTCTACCGGGCAAGATTCAAGTAGCGAAGGAAGCGGGAGAGCGAAGATTCTTGCTTGAGTTGGCGAGTCGAAACGTACTATTTAGGTGCGTTAAAAATTTGTATTAACTAATTTACGAGCGATCACAGATACTGTTCATACATTTTTTCTACCGTTGAAAATTGATTATCACGAACCATCGAGTACCCTTTTCAGTGCGCTGAAATTGAATTTTTAGCAAAATTATAATAGCAGACGCGTGCCATAACCAAAAATTCAAGAGCCACCACGCACAATTTCTTCGCCGTCGCTGCAAAGTAGTTTTTCTTGTGAATGAAAATACAAAAACCAGATATGTCAAGTCATTAAGAAGCGTTAATTGAAACCACAGTGGTGAAAAAGGGCATGTTACTTGTAAGTTTAATCCTCTGTTGGAACAGTAGTTTTAGTTTTGTTACTAGGCCGTTCATTTACGAGTGTTAAATTTACACGAGGAGTGCTTTTAGAACCAAACCGCGTCTAAATAAACCGATAAACAGAGAAGATTCTTTTTCGAATTACTAACAGTAACGGCTGGTTGCAAGCAAGTACTTTAAATGTTGAGTGAGGTCATTGGACAACTTTTGCGATAAATAAAATTTTGTATACAACGGCATACGGCGGGGAATTTAAAGACAATCAATCGGTGCATTTACCCGCAACAAAAAAAAGTTAATAAATTGGGCAAAATTAGTATCAACACAATTTTATTCCTTTGCATAATTACGATTTCAAGTATTACTTTCGCGAAATTTTCCAAGTAGAGAAAAGATCAATTGTAACCTGAAAGAAATCTTATCCTCGTGAATTACAGTTATTTTAAATTTTTGCATAATAATTTTGTTTGAAGTAATCTTAATATTCCTAAAGAAATTCACCTATGAGAACCATTTCAATGAACCGATTTTGATAAGAATCGGATCCAAACAAAGGATTTGGGTTACTTCGCTTCATTGGCGGGGAAAGGGGTATAAAATCCCTACCGTAGAGATTCAATATGATTTATGCAAGTGGTGTCTTCGGCCCTTGTATTTGTAACTAAGCCGTTACAAGAGCAACTGCATCTTTTGAGTTACAACAAATGGTAATTTTGCACCACCAATTAAAGAGTAAATTGCAACATACTAACGGTAAGGGCCTACATTTAGGCGATGTTGATAAATTTCCCATGTGCAATCGTCAAACTTTCGTTTTTTGATTTATTCATACAGAAACGTGATTGATTAATCTGTAAATTATAATTGAAACTTGTTTGTACCAATTTTCACACCATTGAAACGAAATTAAGTGTTTAAGGTACCGATCATAATAACCAATATGCAG